GATAAACAAAACCTTTTTTAAAAAAAAACAATGAGGGAATCCCTGGGGGCTCAGCAGTTTAGCGCCTGCCTTCTGCCCAGGGCATGATCCTGGAATCCTGGGATCAAGTCCCATGTTGGGCTCCCTGCATGGAGCCTGCTTCTCTCTCTGCCTCTCTCAATCTCTCTCTCTCTCTCTCTCTCTCTCTCTCCTCTCATAAATAAATAAAATCTAAAAAAAAAAAAAAAAGAAAGAAAATGGGAATATGGAATGTAACACCTAAATCAAAGGTTAGTGGACACATGGAAGGAAGGCCATGGAATGAAGGAATAAAGCATGGGTGCCTGGGACAGTTGAATGCCAGGGAGCGAGAAGGGACGATCTTTGGAAAAGCAGAAGCTCTGGCTGCCTCCCAAATGTGCTGACTGCTCACCCTGAGCACCAGCACGTACTAATGCCTTGTGACACGCCAGCCCTGCAGCTATCACGTTCCCCACGAACAGCACTGCCCAGCTATCTTTACAGCAAACCCCGCAACACCTCGCCACTCGAACATAGCCACCAAGTTTGGGACACGTGTGGGGCTCGGTGGACTTTCCCGACATTGGGATTAATTCTCATAAAAGGTCATTTCATTGCCCAATTTTTCACCCTATGATATTCCAAAAAAGAAAATTTCCTTGACTCTTCTTGTGATCAATGAGCTACTGTTTTATCCTTCTCTGGTAATATTCACACCATAATATTAAATTAGAAAAAATAAGATTGAATTTCCCTCACCAATAAAAATTATATGATTTTTTTTGTTCATGTTCAATTTGTATCAGTCCATTGGGTCACAAGTGTGCCAATTCCAATATAACCATAATGCGTCACTATTACAGGAACACTTCACTCTGCCTGAGAGGGTCCCGGATGACTCAGGTTTTCTATTCGAGTGCAGACACTCTATTGTGTTATTCAGGTGGGAGATCTCCTTACATTTATATAAATATCCATCTTTCTATTTAAATATATGGCCTGCACCATTTTGGAGGATAATGAGATCTTTGTGTTTAACACGTCATGACAAGTGCAATTTTCCTTCGTCATAAAATAACCTACTGCATAAAAGGAGTTCTTAAGGAAACACAACCCTCAACTGAGTCCTCTGAGGGGGGCTGAGATACCAGGGATGGCAAGGGCTCTGCTCCCGCCCCAGTTCCTGGGCCCTTGGCAGCAGATGGGGGTAGCCTCCTACTCCACACGACTGTGGCTTGCTCCCTGGCCTAAGCCCTTTACCCAGAGAGAAACCTGTTACTCCCTCATCTCTCATGGCCCTGTAAAACTCCTCTGGCCTCAACTTCCTTACTCTAACTTCCACTTGGGTGTCCCCAATCTTTGTGCTCCTCAGTTTAACTTCTCGGCATGGAATCTGCATGGTTCATCCCATCTCCATGGCCTTTGGCTCAGATGCCAGACTCTGGCCCAATCAGCTGGAGGAGAGTCAGTGAGCCCCGGGTCCTTATAAGACTGCTCCCTTGACAAGGCGATGGGTGGGACAGTGTCACATAGAAGGACAAGGCACCAGTAGTGACATTATTTCTCCCAGGGGCTTCAAGAATGGTCTCCTGGTTCTCATCAGAACTTAGGGAAGACTGTGCTCCCCACAGCCAAGCCCTCTGGGCTTTAACAGATTCCAGCCTTCTCCGAGCATTACCACTTCTGAGCCAGAGCTCTGATAAATCTTATTGTCATCCATCAGCATCCCCGAAGTTTCAAGATTTCGGCTGCTTTTGTTTGCTATACCAGAGTAAAAAGCTGCCCATGGCCTTCTGTTGGGGGAGGCAAAGTATGGCTGGGCTGGCGTTGTGTGAAACGCCCTCACTGCTGCAGGCCGCTCTCATGCCTAGCACTCCCACTGGGTTCAGCTCAAAGGGTTCCAGCGGTCCTGCTAAGGGTAGAAAACTCATGGTTGTTTTAGGTCATTTTGAGACTCCAGATGGATCTCTTCTACAACATCTCCACCAAGTGGCTGCCCAGTCTTCTGCTGCAGTATCTCCACTGAGAAGAAAGTAACTATGTCCAGAGGCAACGCATTCTAACTTCAAACGACTTTATTAAAACCATACTTCAGACTGATCTTAGCTTCACATCCTTTTAGCACCAACGCCAAAAGCCAAGGTCAGGCCTCAGGGCCGGTTAGAACAGGCCTAACTGCAGGTTAGTAAGTAAGTGTAGTAAGACTCTGTCCTCCTGTGTCTGCTTGTGGCTGAGCAAGTTGACCACAACTCCCGGTGCTTAGGAGAAAAATCACTAGACCGTGCCTCCTCCCTGAAGGTGAGAACGGGGTGCTTCCAAAGACGGAACATCCTGGCACCCAGTCATGTTCATGACCACTTTTTCCTTTCTTCTCCTGCTTGGCAAGCCTTCACACATTGGGAGCTCTGTTCTGTTTCCTCCAAAGCGCCTCTCATGCAGGGTAGACATCCACAGCCTCGAACTGTGCCTCGAAGGACAGGTTTTCAAGCCCCTTTACCATCTAGAATTCACTTCTTACCAACACAGCTTCCCTTGTTCCTGTAGCTCTAGTTTATACCATCCAGATTGGTTTAGGGCCAAACTGCTGAAAGCATCCCCCGTGGGACCCGGGGGGCACAGAGGGAGCCCCCCCAGGGAAGCCTCCGTGGCGGTGCCGGCCACACCGACAGATATGCAGATGGGGCTCCAGTGGAACGCGGGGGGGGGGGGTCCACTCAGCCCACCGGCCCTGACCATTACGTCAAGCGGTTAGCTTCCCGCTCTCCCCAGCTGGCACTGGAGAGAATCCTCTCGAAGCTTGGCTCCCTGCAACCTCCTTACCTCACACGGGCCAAGGAAACGATGGCTAGTCTGGATGGTGCTGGGTGTGGCTCTTCCAGCTACGGGCTGGCCTCTGACCAGCTCACTGCTTTCACAGAACACAAGCAGCTTAACCACCTGCAACCATTCCTCTCGGCTCTGGGCCTAAGAAGTCTCGGGTCACGGCAGCCGCGGCGGGGTCTGGTGCGAGGCCGCCTCCTGGCTCATGGCTGGTGGTCTTCCCGCTCACGCGGGTGGGCGGAGGAGCTCTCTGAGGCCGCCTTCGCAGGGCACTACTCCCATTCAAGAGGGCCCACCCTCAGGCGGAGCACCCTCAGCCCCCCTCCAAGCCCCGTCTCCCCGGACCATCACACCGAGGGTCAGGATTTAATCTAAGGACGCGAACTGCGGTCCACGTCACAGCAGCTCCCCTCAGCAGCCCCACCCGCCAGGAGGGCAGTCTGAGCGGGTTTTTTCCCTTCTTTTACCAATTCCTTTCTAATCCTGAGGAATTATCTTTCCCCCTGCAAAACTCCCCGGGTGCAGGGATGCGGTAAGGCTCTGTTACCCGGTCCTGCCCGTGTCCCCAAGGACAGGAGGCCCACTGAGGAGGACTCCTGCCGTCAGTGAAGGCTGGGTGTGAGTTCAGAGCCCTTCTGACTTGGTACCCCAACCCCACTCTGGGAGCGGGGCATCCCCCCGTGAGAGCTCTCCGTCCCTCCCGAATACTCCAGACGCACGTCTGACCTTGCCAGCAAGTGCATCCCCCCGCAGCGCCTCTAGACAGGGAGTGGGCCCAGGGCCATCTGCCCTCCACACTGCCAGGCCCCCTCGCCCCACTTGAGATCCACCCCCCATTTGGGTCAGGCCACCACAGGGCACAAACACCACCACACCTGTGGGAGGGCAACAACACGGGTTCGGGTTTGTCAGTCCATGTAAGATGTCCTCCCACTGGAGGCTCCGAGTCAGTTCAGCAACTCAGTGGTATCGTCAAAGACCCGCAGTCTATCCAGCTTTCTGCTCCACCAACCTCCTGGCTCCCAGCTTCACTTTTCCCCTGGTGGCTGCAAAACGGCCGTGACAACTGCAGGCATTACTGCTTTGTACAGCTGCCCAAAGACAGGGCACTGCTCACTCCTCAAGCACCTCCTTCTGTTAGCAATAAGCTCTAAGCAGATGTCCCTTCACACTTCACTGGAGGGAACTGGATCACATGCCCATGACCCAGCACCCACCGTGACACCCAGGGGATGGGATCAGACAACTGGCCCGGCCCAGTGTCCCTGACACCTGAAGGTTCTGGGGTTACCCGGAAAGAGGGCAGATGGCCATGGGATCAGAGGGAGCAGTGCCTGCACACCTTCAGCCAGTACAGGTGCCTGGGTCAGAGACCTGGAGATTCTGGTGCCAGGCCAGGTGTGAAATGCCCCACTGCAGCCCAAAGGACTGCAGTTGGTCTAGGAGACACACATTACAGCACAAGCTCAGAAGACTCCTGACCTTGAGAACATCTATGCCTTCACGGCAGCTCTTTCCTACCCCTGGCCATCAGGAAAGTACCTTGGCAGATGTGTAGTGTCCAGCTGTGAGGTTTAAACATCAGGAATCTTGCACTGTTTCCATTCTGTTTGGCTGTGACCTGTCACAGTGTATGCCATCACTCAGCAATGGTGAACACAGTGTATTTATTTGGAAGAGTCTCAGTACTTAGATCTTTTAAACTTGGTTTTATATCCTCTTGGTGGAGCATTTCAGGGAATCAGAATGCTAGAATTGGCGGAGGATCCAAGAAAGCCAACCTGGCACACGTGGGGAAGGCAAAGCTTACAATCTTGGAACCAAGCTTTTAGAGAAAGGTGCATTCAAAGGTGCTCTGATCATTGACCCCAATGTCAATGGAACCTCCAGGTCTGGTCAAACAGCTCCTGTTAGGCTATGTCACCACTAAGCTCTATTCTATTTTTGTTTGGTTATTTATTTTTTTTTAACTTTAAATTTTATCAATTAGCATTTATCCCTTATTTCAATCTGCCAGACATTTCTGAATCCTACTTGGCATCAAAAATAGTAGCTCTTACTCCCTGCCTTGTGTCGTGTGCAACTTCTATGAGAAAATTCTTACAGGTCACTTACAGGTTAAAGACACAGCTGAAAAAAAAATCAATTAAAGATCTTACAAACTCCATGAGTCTCAACACTTCTGTGAAATGGTCCATTTTATTCTGAGGTTGTGGGACCAGGCATCATCTAATTCTTGGGAAGCTAAAGGAGAAACCCAAAATGGCAAGTTAAATATGCCTTTGCAGATAGTCTGATGCCTGCAGAAATCCACCAGAAGCCTGTCTAGAAACTTACTGCTGATTACAGACACAAATACACACACATGTACACACACATACATCTCAGATTCAATAAAAAACAGTAGTCCACTAGCCTTGGAACAAATTATTCTTAATTTGTGAAATATATATTCTTAAATGTTATAGAATATGAGGACCTACGTCCTTTAGAAAGTTTTACCATGAAATAGACAAAAGACATAAATCTTAAGGATGAATGAAGTTGGAGAAAACTATAAATATACCCTGTTTAAAAAGTGCTTCTTTTCATCTGGCATTAAGTCGTATTTTTTATTATGTGAAAAGCTGTTCACATCTTCCCCGCACGTCGATGTGATTATGACTCATTCATATTTTCATGTGTCTGAGTGCATGGAAAGAAGTCAGACCACTTTTTTGAATACGCCGTGAAAGGGGACCTTAAATCTACCTGCTGCTCTTAACTTCTGTTTGTCTTCCAAAAGTTAAGGAAAGTAACAGTAGTTTTTCATTCCATACTGAAGAAAAATATACTCTTTGCTGAAGACACAGATGGAAGTCTCTATAAAATCGAAGACGGCCAACACCTGGGAAACCACGCTTGATAAAAGTCTACATTTGAGTGACTGACTGGGTGTGCGCTGGTCCTTGGGGCCTCTTGCCTCTCAGAGTGCTGATGTCATAGGCCCACACAGTATCTACCCCCTCCCCGGTGACATGGTCTGGGGTCCAGCCAGGGAAAGGGAATCGGCAGGCAATGACTCTGGCGTCATCCTCAAGTTCAAGCGCAAGTTTCTCCTTCAACCGCAGCATCTGTGCAGAACAATAGCCGTTATTTCAATAAGCAGTGAGTTGGAGGAAAAGATTCCCAAGTGTTCTTTTGCATCTTAGTGCCTAAAGATACCTTACAAAATTAGGAACTGTGGGGGTGTCTGGGTGACTTAGTTGATGAAGCATCTGCCTTCGGCTCAGCTTATGATCAGGGTCCTGGGATTGAGCCCCATGTCAGGCTCCCTGCTCAACGGGGAGTCTCCTTCTCCCTCTCCCTCTGCTGCTCCCTGCTCCCATACCACTCGTACACTCTCTCTCTCAAATCTTTAAAACAAAATTAATAATTGTAAATAAAATCCCTTCAAAGCATAAATACATTATCAAACGATCCATTAAAATGCAGAAGTCACATTAACAACAGGGGCACCTGAGTGGCTCAGTTGGTTAAGTCCCGAACTTGATTTCAGCTCAGGTCATGATCTCAGGGTGGAGACTGAGCCCCACCCTCAACAAGGAGTCTGCTTGACATTCTCTCTCCCTCTGTCCCCTCCCCCACTCTAAAAATATGAAATAAAGTACCCTTATTTAAAAATAAAGTGAGAAGCAGCTGTAAATTATCTGCCCACCTAGCATTTCAATCTACCCTGTCTCAATTACTTAACACATTTTCCCACATTTTAACATCTCTGAAATCAGGATACATGTTACGATTGACATAGTCTTTTTTTTTTTTAATTTATTTATGATAGTCACAGAGAGAGAGAGAGAGAGAGAGAGAGAGGCAGAGACACAGGCAGAGGGAGAAGCAGGCTCCATGCACCGGGAACCCGATGTGGGACTCGATCCCGGGTCTCCAGGATCGCGCCCTGGGCCAAAGGCAGGCGCCAAACCGCTGCGCCACCCAGGGATCCCAATTGACATAGTCTTAGAATTATAATTGGCAGTATTTTTTTCTTTCTCAATAGCAATGGTGCATACCAAAATTAACAGTATTGGGGCGCCTGGGTGGCTCAGGTGGTTAAGCATCTGCCTTCAGCTCAGGTCATGATCCCAAGGTCCTTGGATCAAGACTCGCATCAGCTCCCTGCTCAGAGGGGAGTCTGCTTCTCCCTCTGCCCTCTGCCCACCCCCCCCCCACCTTGTTCATGCTTGCTCTGTTACTCTCTCAAATAAATAAATAAAATCTTTAAAAAAAAAACACACACACACACACAGTATCTAGCTTCAGTGAAATATGGTATTACTAAATTGGACCATGAAAAATATACTCGATCTAACTTAAATTTAATGAAATATTTCATGATTCTTCAAAAATTTATCTTTAATGCACTGATAACTTCATAGTCAACACAACTTATAAAAAGTAAAATCCTCTTATTTATCAATTTTGCATCCTTTTATTACCAACCTACCTGCTAAAAGTATTGATGTAATTATATCAGCAAATTAACAACCACTTTAAAATTGATCTTCAGATCCTACCATCTTTACCTCCTTCTTTTGTGATTTTGAAAGAATTTCAAATTTACAGAAAAGTCACAAGAATAGAACAAAGAATTCCTATATTCCTTCACCCAAGTTCACCCATTTTTAATAGTTCGGCATATTTGCTTTATGTAATTTGCCCTCTTTCCCTATGAATACTTTTCCTAAACCATTTGAGAACAGGTTGCATACAACATACCCCTTTGTTCCTTGATACGTCAGTGTTCTCTGAGACACAACCCCAGCTCCGTTATTAAATTCAGGAAATTTAAGATTGTATTCCAATCATAATCTCAAAGTCTTCCAATTCCGCCAAATGTCCCAACAATATCTCTTATAACACTTTCCCCCACAATGTCATGCTGCATGTAGCTATGTTTCCTTTGTCTACTTTAACCTGGAACAGTTCCTCCATCTTCCTTTGTCTATCATGACAACATCTCTAGGAAGTCGGGCCATTGATCCACCAGTGGGCCCTCACCTTGGGTTCTCAACTTCTGCTCACAACGACTCGGCACACACATCTTTGGCAAGGCCCCACAAGTGGGGCTGTGAGCTTCTCAGGGCCCCACAGTCAGATGCCCATGGGGACCTTCTGCTGTGAGAGTGACGGTCACCACCCAGTTAGGGTGATACCTGGTGTCTCGGCAGTGGGGTTGCTAGTTTTCCCTTATAATGAGCAATTTGCCAGAGGTAGCCTGAGACAATTAAATATCCTGCTGCCCATTGAAATGTCCCTCACCAGATGTAGCATTCTTGGTGATTCTGGCCTAGGTTAATTTTCACTGTATGGTTTCAAAGCGGCAATTTGCTAATTCCATCATTCCTGTCAGTCCATCATACTGACAACAGGCATTCTATTGCAAGGAAGAGCTCTCCCTTCTTTCTGCCTATGTACCTATCGTTGTAAATATGAGCCCCTAGATTCCTATTCTGTACAGTGGGTTCTGATCCACTATCATCCTTGTGTCTTCTGATACTCAGACTATCCCAGCCTGGCCCCTGGGAGCCTCCCAAGTCGCCTCTCTCCCCTTTGGATGAGCCCCCAAAATACTCTGAACACTTCCTATTTGGGCTGAGCAAAATGCCCCAGGCTTTTGTTTTGATCCCCCTAAGCCCTCAGATCAGCCACCTCTCAGACATTCCTGGTTCCTCTAAATGGGAAATGATATCTTGAAACCAAGATCTGAGCAAAAACTAATCCCTTAAAAAAAAACTAATCCCTTTAAAACTAACCAAATAAATCAAGACAAACAAATCAATAGTGCTTCTATGAAGACTTTTTACTCCTGACCTCTGTCTTTAAAAAGTGGCTTGAAGAAAGTCCTCCATGTGACCTCTGGCTACAGTGAGCCAAAACTCTGATTCTTTAATATAATTAATACCAAGGTAACCAAGAATAAATTCCACTAAGGATGGGTTATTTCTACTCTTTTAACAGCCAGTAAGAGAATTCTTAAAAAAAAAAAAAAAAAAGGTTCCTTGAGGGAAAAATTAAATAGGCAAAGAATGAGACAATATGTGTTTTTTCAAAATATCAGAGGATTCTTACAGCAATTTTGTTCATAAAAAGATCATTGTAAATGTATTCATGTTATCATTATTCTTCTTTTACAGTTTCTTTTATTTCCCAATGACTGTCATATGCTAAGTCAAGATAAACCTACAAATGAAAGAAGCTATTTCAATGGTAAGAAATTAACTGAGTCAATCACACATAAATATGCAATGAGCCTGGGTCTTGATATCATGCACAAAGAGAAGCAGTCATGTGTCATGTCTGTCTAATGGAATTCAAAATTATTCATACAATTAGAGATTTCAAAGTGACACGAACTCATCATATTCTAATTACATCTTCAAAATTTTGAACATAAGTTGAAACCAACTCAAAGACATAAGCCAAACTGCCATGCCCATGAGCAGCTCTTGAAGTGTTCAAAGGCTCCCTCCTCCCCAAAACACTGGCTTCACTTGACTTCTAGTAACACCCCCCACCACGGGCTTTCCTCCTACCCAAATCCTCCTCTCAAGCCCTTTGCTGGGTGCCCCTCACTTGTCAGAGGCCAGAGCTTGGGCCTTGACCAGCTCTGCCCTGTTGGCAGGGGACCTCAGCCACTCCTGGGCTTCAGCTCCTTCCAAGAGCCCCCTCACCTCCCCAAGCCCCAGAACCCCTCTACCCACCACTGCCAACCACACATCTCCACACACATCTCAGGCTTCCCTTTTTTTTTTTTTAATCTTAATTTTGTTTGAGAGAGAGAGCAAGCGAGCAAGCAAGCGCAAGTGGAGGGAGAAGCAGACTCCCTGCTGAGCAGGGTGTCAGATGCGGGGCTCCATCCCAGGGCCCCGAGATCACAAGCTGAGCCTAAGGCAGATGCTTCACCGCCTAAGCCCCCCAGGCGCCCCCATATCGGGCTTCCTGCAGCTCTGCCTGCCTGTCCCAGCTCAGCAACAACAATGCACTTCCAGCATCTCTGCCCAAACCCTTGAGGAATGGTTCCTTTCTCCCACGCTCCAAGGGGATGCGCCGGCCCACCCTGCTGTCTCCATCCTCCACCACCTGCAGAACCAGCTTCTGCATGCTGGCACGCACCTACCACCCCTCCTGCCTGGCTGCCCGCAAGAGCGCCTAACCTGTCTCCTGGCTTCTACTCACGCCCAGAGTCCACACAGCAGCCTGGATCCTCTGCAACCCGGCAGTCCTCCGCTCCTCTGCCCAAAACCGCCAGGGCTTCTGCATCCCACAGCCCTGACTGCCTCTCTGACCTCACTCTCCTCTGGCCTTACTCACCCTCCTGCTGCCGCTGAAACCCAGCAGGACACAACCTGGGCGCCTCTGCAGGGACATGGTCTCTGCCCCCACTCCCCTGCTTTACTCCGCCCCACAGCACTCACCCCCTCCTGTTGTACCACATTTTTTTTTTATTTTTTTAAGTAAGCTCTATGCCCAGGGGAGAGCTCGAACTTATAACCCCGAGATCAAGAGTCACATGACCTACTGACTGGGCCAGCCTGGGGCCCTTTTTATAGGGACTGCCTTTACTGTCTGCTCTCCCCACTAGCACCGAGGCACCTCGGGCCAGGGGTGGTTCTCTTATTCATTCACTAAAGTACCCCCAAGTGATTAGCATGGAGTCTGGCACTTTGTGGTATTGAATAAATACTTGTCGAATGAATGAACAAAGGATACATGGTCCCATGGTGAATCATTTATCTTTATCAGAATATGATGGTAAGATTTTTGTTCATCATTTCACAACATGATTCATAACTAAAATTAAATTAGGCAGTCTTTGAAGTTCCGAAATGTAATAGCCCACCAGGAAGTATCCTTAACAGGTATGTTTCTACCATGCTCGTTCATTCATCTGATGAGGATTTCCTGAGTCACGACTGCGCTGGTGCCACCGTCCTAGGGGTCTGGCAGCAGACAGGCTGGCCCTTACTCGTGAGCCTACAGTGCAGTGTACACGGCCAACCTGACGAAGCCCTCATGTAAGGAAATGTGCGAGAACTCACTACAGAGAAGACAGAAAACAGGCCGCTGGGGTTCACCTCATTGGGCAATCAGGGATGACTTCCTGGAGGAAGGGACACTAGACCTGCAAGTGATCAGGAGGTATTCACCAATGAGGCCCAGAGCTGGACGGGATGTGAAGTCAGAAGGAAGGACACGGCTCACGCAGTGGAGTTCAGGGGCTGAGAGGATAGAAGGCTGGTGCGCAGAAAGCTGAGGGAGGCAGAGGCCACTCCACACAAGGCCTTGAGCCAGGTAGAGCGTTCACACTTTATCTTCACTGCTTTAAAGCAACAGGATGTCGCAGTTGGGTTTTAAATAAGGACACGATTGATCTGTTTCACATTCTGAAAAGAGGAGCATGAGCTAGAGTTATATGTGGGTATTTACCACACTAGGACTGGATTTACCAGATCCAAATGAGATTCCTCACCCCTGGAGGGTTAGATACCCACCAGGATTGAAATGAGTTTCGAGCCACGAAAGCACAGAGCTGTCAGGAACCATTGGTATGGGATCAGAAGTAGGGTGGATGGGGATCCCTGGGTGGCGCAGCGGTTTGGCGCCTGCCTTTGGCCCAGGGCGCGATCCTGGAGACCCGGGATCAAATCCCACGTCGGGCTCCCGGTGCATGGAGCCTGCTTCTCCCTCTGCCTGTGTCTCTGCCTCTCTCTCTCTCTCTCTCTCTCTCTCTCTCTCTCGCTGTGATTATCATAAATAAATAAAAAATTTAAAAAAAAAAAAGAAGTAGGGTGGATGATTTTTAATTCCAAGTTTCTTCCTCTCCAGCTCCCTAAGTATTCTCCTGGCCCCTTGTGGCCTGTATGGGACTCAGCTACCCCAGGAGATGTTGGCGCTACATGGGCTTCGTTGGGCCACACAGCCATGCCGGCCAGTGATCAACAAGAGAAGTGCATTTCACTAGCAGACAGCCCCAGCAGGGCGCCCCAGACTCCAGACAGCAGAGCTGGCCTCCTGACCCCCTGACACCACTTTCCTCCCCATTACTACTTTCACATAGATGAAGCTCCATGAGGTTTAAAAGTGGGACCCTGCACCGACGAACAAGCCCCTGTGGGTCCTGTGAACAAGCCACCTATGTGGAAAACTGCCCAGGGGCTGAATCCCTCTCACTCCACAGAACATGGCTGCTTCATGTTTTCAGCTATTCCCCTTTTTCTTGGGAACAGTGAAATGGTACAACTTCTTTATTTAAGGTTTCTCTGTATACAAACAAATGGGCAATAATTACAAAAGCATTCATCAAAAAAACAGGAATCTTATTTCCCCCAAGTAAACAACTCCAAAAACTGGCCATGCTCAAACATGGTAGACCCACATGGAGTTGGAGCCCACAGGCCACTGCTGCCCCATCCCAGGCGGAGCTGCTACGGCCTCAGGCCACCAGGGCCCGACCTCTCACAATGGCATGGAAGTTGCAGTAAACATCTACTTTTACTTTCTATAAAGAATGGAATTCAAATTAAACTTATTTGCTCCAAAATGCTGATTATTCGAAAGGAATGCCTGAACATCATCAGGAGTAGATAACCGTCAAAGTCCATAGCAATGCTCAGATATCAAATTGTTTCTTTTAAATGACTAGGGATCACGCCGCTTTTCATTTCTATAACAGAAGTGTGAACACCCATATTTTATCTTAATTTTGGCTTACTAAGAATTCCAAACATATAGAATCCTGCTACTTACAAGAAAATGTAACCACAGCACTTCTAAATCGACTTAAGTAAAAGTGGCATTGTACCAAAGCTCCTAATAGTAAGAAAAGATTTCTCAAACACTGAACTGTCTTATACAAATATTAATGTGTGACGAAGAAAACAAAAAAGTAAATTTCCCTTCTTTTTTAAGTTAAAAACCATACATATCAGTTACACAGTGGCATTTCAGCAAACATCCCATTTTTCCAGGATTATTATGGTCACAATCATAGACCTTGAAAAGTGAAAAGGGATTTCTTTCCATGGTCTGTAAACCAACAATTAAAAGCATCTCATCCTGGTCATCTTCCCAAAAGCTAAATTTAGAACCATTTACAGTACGATGCCACCACGATGTTTTCACTTTCTAAAATATGTAATCTAAGTTCAATACAAATCAGTCAGCTGAGGTCAAGTGACAGTAGTCAACGCTCATCCACCCTGAAAACTGCCTCACTATGAAACCAGAGGCCTGATCAATTCGAAGGGAACATGCCATTAACTCTCCCAAGTAACTTCAGCTGGATATTAAGTGAGCAACCTCGAAAATCTCCAACTACATTAGACACGGGCAGCTCATACAAGAGTTTCCAGATTGGAGTTTTTAGGGCTTAGGTAGATCATTGAGAATTTGATCTGAAGCAGAAGTTTGAACAACATGACTGCCCCTTTTACAATTATACTTTTAAGGCCTTGCAGTACTTTGTCAAGCCAGCAAGCTGAAATCTCATGTCCTCCCAGAATCTCTGGGGGTGAGGGGGCTGCTGTTGGGTACACAGGCGGGCAGCCACATGGATGGGCAGCCACACAGATGTGACCTGTTAGAGCTGGAGGGTCTACCCAAGACCTACAGCCAAACAACCAGGGGACAGGTGGGTGCATACTCACCATCTGAGGCACACCAAAAATAACGACGTTTGAGTACTGTGAAAAAGTAACCTAAAAAAGAGAGGCAATAATGCAGAGGTTAATTTTAAAAGGCCAAACATCAAGCTTAACTTTTGTTTCAAAAGGAGTAGCAATTTCCCATTTCGACAAATAGCAGGTTTTTTACAAAGAGTGGCTCCCTTTAAGATTTCACAGGAATCCACGTTTACGTGTCTGTTAACTCAATCCACTACAGTTTTCCAGACACCTCCCTTAAGTCATTCCTGTCATCCTCAAGGATGCTCCACGCAGGGTCCGCCCAGGGGTCACCTGTCGGAAATGCCAGTGACTCGTCCAGTAACCATCTGGTGGCCGCGCCAGTTGCCCTGTGCCATTGGTGCCCCAGTCCATACTTTTCTACTCTTCACCACCATCACCAAACTAGCTCAGCAAGAGCATGTGACATGGGACAACCACCTGTCTTTTATGTTTAGCCATTCTTAAAATTCTTGTCCCTCTCCTCTAAAATACTAAGTAAAAATTGAAATAAAATGATCTTTAGTTGAAAAACTGGGGGGGGGGGGGGAGTGCTTTGCCAGTCAAAATTCTTATTGTCCAATAAAAGTCTTATTTACTCTGCAGGGAGATCGTTTATGTATATACAGAATAAAAAACAATGCAAGCAAAACTCATGTGAATTTTTATAAGCTACTGATGACAATATTACAGTGGAAAATTCTTATTTAAGAAAAAACATTTTATGGAGCATTTCTAAAGCAAAATTACAGGACATTTTTTTAGAGTACAAATAAACTGGGAAGTATCTTATACATTATGAAAACCAGAAAAAAAAACATAACAAAGTTAGTAGATTCTGTCTTTTGCACTCACCTCTCTGTAGATACACATATACATATGCAGCCACACACATACATACCTCTGTAGGCACACACATGCACACACACAAAGTCTACCAATTACTAAGAACATCAACAAATTAATGCTTATAATTTATAAGATTTCCATATGAGATTTTTAAAATCTCATCATTTTGTAATAGAAATGAGAAATTTTTTTAATTGAGCAAATTCTTAAAATTCACATAACCTATCAGGTCTAAAATCTTAAGCTTCTACTCTAAAAGGGTTGGTTTGTAAATCTATCCATTTAAAAGGTGTTCACATTATGCTCTATTTTAACTATTTTTCTTTTAATACATTCTTCAGTTTTTAATCATACTAAATACAAATTACAAAGTTTTGATTGCCATTTCCTAGGACCATTCTCTGCCTTACGTACCTTCCACAAATCTGATATATAAAATTTGGCAGAGTCCTGAACCCCTTCTCGCCAAGCACGGTATCTGGAGTACCAAACTAGCCATGGGTTTAATTCATAACCAACAGCTGTGAATCCTTCTTTGGCAGCTGCTATCACCTGCAGAAAGAGGCCTGTGTTTATTCTAGGTTAAGAAGAAAAACATTAACCTACTGAATGGGAGAAGATATCTGCAAATGTTATCCAATAAGGGGTTAGTATCCAAAATATGTAAAGAACTTATATAACTCAACACCAAAAAAAAAAAAACAAATACAATTAAAATGGGCAGAAGACATTAGAAACGACAAATACCCACCATTTGCTTCGACGTGGATGGACCTGTAGGGTATTATGCTGAGTGAAATAAGTCAATCGAAAAGGACAAACATTATATGGTCTCATTCATTTGGGGAATATAAAAATTAGTGAAAGGGAATAAAGGGAAAGGAGAGAAAATGAGTGAAAATATCAGTGAGGGTGACAAAACATGAGAGACACCGAACTCTGGGAAATGAACAAGGGGTAATGGAAGGGGAGGTGTGCAGGGGGTTGGGGTGATTGGGTGATGGGCACTGAGGGGGGCACTTGGTGGGATGAGCACTGGGTGTTATGCTATATGTTGGCAAATTGAACTCCAATAAACAAATGTTAAATAAATTAAAATGGGGATCTGAAAATAAAATTAAATTAAATTTAAAAATGGGCATGGGATCCCTGGGTGGCGCCTGCCTTTGGCCCAGGGCGCGATCCTGGAAACCTGGGATCGAATCCCATGTCGGGCTCCCGGTGCATGGAGCCTGCTTCTCCCTCTGCCTATGTCTCTGCCTCTCTCTCTCTGTGTGTGATTATCATAAATAAATAAAAATCAAAAGAAAAAAAAAGGGGCAGAAGACATGAAGAGACATTTCTCCAAAGAAACATATAAATAGCCAAGACACATAAAAGATGCTCAACATCACTCATCATGCAAATCAGAATTACAATAAGATATCACCTCACCTGTCAGAATGGCTAAAATCATAAACACAAGAAACAAGTGTCGATGAGGATGTGGAGAAAAAGAAACCCCTGTGTACTATTAGTGGGAATGCCGTCACTGTGGAACAGTATGGAGGGCCCTCAAAAAATTGAAAATACAATTACCATATGATCCAGTAATTCCACTGAGTATCTACCCAAAGAACATGAAAACATTAACTTGAAAAAATTTATGTACCCCTATGTTATCGCAGCATTATTTACAATAGCCAAATTATGGAAGTATTCACCTTCATGCAGCCCAAATATCCACTTACTAGATTAATGGATAAAGAAGAGTGGTATACACACACACGTACACACACAAACACACAATGGAATATTATTCAGCCATAAAAAAAAGAATGAAATCTTGCCATTTGCAATGAATGGATGGGATCTAGAATGGTATGATGCTAAGTGAAATAAGTCAAAGAAAGGCAAATGCCATTATTTCACTCATATGTGGAACTTAAACAAATGAACAAACAAATGAATACAGAGACAAACCAGATTCTTGAATATAGAGAACACAGTTGGGAGTGGGGGTGAAGTAGGTGAAGGCGATTAACAGTACACTTGTCATGACGAGTACACCATTGTTGAATCACTATATTGTCCACCTGAAACTAGTAACAATTATACTGAAATTTTAAAATTTCTAAATTAATTTAAAAAAAGAAAAACATCAACTTACATGGTCAAATAATATGACTGCTTCCTATTTATGGTCTATAATCACAAAATGTCCAATCTCTTCTTTTATTCAAATGCCACTTAACAATATATCTCTAAAATTATGTAGCTTTATAGACAAGATAATGCTTATTTAAACTCAGTTTTCATGTTTTTGTCAAAGATTTCACCTCAAGCAGCACAACCGTCAGGTTTGTTTTGGAAAAAGCACTTTTGGATTGGCCAACCCCTGGCAGGTCTGATGAGAAGTTGCTGAAAACCCACCCTCTCTCTCCATCAATGAGAGCACAGCACCAGGCAAAATGAATCTGCCTGGGAGAGTGTTTTGTGAGCTAGTTGTGATTTACAATCAAAATGACCTGTCAATAAGCACCTGCAATTACTTACACATTTCCTCAGTATTTTAAGACCCTTCACTCAAAATTGAAAGCAAGTAAAAGGAAAATGGAATGAGTCAAGAATAGTCAACTGTAGGTGACTATTCACTCTGTACAGTGAGGACAGTGGGCTGGTCCTGGAGTCTCTGCTCATTTTGTCTCGCCAGTACTCTTCAAGGGAGCATACCTGAAGGAGCTGTCTGCCCACAGTAATTTCCCTAGTTAACTACAGTGTCACCCCCTTAAGAAGGAAAGGAAACCATGAAGATACAACTCGGATGTACAAAGCATTCAAATCTGGGTTTTAAAACTTCGTCCTGGTTCATATATAGATCTCTTGATTTCCAAAACCACAATGAGATACCACCTCACACCAGTGAGAATGGGGAAAATTAATAAGGCAGGAAACAACAAATGTTGGAGAGGATGTGGAGAAAAGGGAACACTCTTACTGTTGGTGGGATTGTGAACTGGTGCAGCCACTCTGGAAAACTGTGTGGAGGTTCCTCAAAGAATTAAAAATAGACCTGCCCTACGACCCAGCAATTGCACTGTTAGGGATTTACCCCGAAGATTCAGATGCAATGAAACGCCGGGGCACCTGCACCCCGATGTTTCTAGCAGCCATGTCCACAATAGCCAAACTGTGGAAGGAGCCTCGGTGCCCATCGAAAGATGGATGGATAAAGAAGATGTGGTTTATGTATACAATGGAATATTACTCAGCCATTAGAAACGACAAATACCCACCATTTGCTTCAATGTGGATGGAACTGGAGGGTATTATGCTGAGTGAAGTAAGTCAAGCGGAGAAAGACAAACAGTGTATGTTCTCACTCATTTGGGGAATATGAATAATAGTGAAGGGGAATATAAGGGAAGGGAGAAGAAATGTGTGGGAGATATCAGAAAGGGAAACAGAACATAAAGACTTCTAACTCTGGGAAATGAACTAGGGGTGGTGGAAGGGGAGGAGGGCGGGGGGTGGGGGTGAATGGGTGACGGGCACGGAGGGGGACACTTGATGGGATGAGCACTGGGTGTTATTCTGTATGTTGGTAAATTGAACACCAATAAAAATTAATTTATTAAAAAAAAAGATCTCTTGATTTCTTTTTTTTTTTTAAGATTTTATTTATTTATTCATGAGAGACATATAGCAAGAGGCAGAGACATAGGCAGAGAGAGAGAAGCAGACTTCATGCAGGGAGCCCAAAGTGGGACTCAATCCCGGGACTCCAGGATCACGCCCTGAGCTGAAAGCAGAAGCTTAACCGCTGAGCCACCCAGGCGTCCCAACCTCTCTTGATTTCTTAAAAACAAATAGAGCTCTGTTTTCACCGTGTCCATCAGGTCACCATGATGAAATTGCAAGGTCTATGCTCCAGGGGATGGTGAGAGGAGTCACACCCCTGCTGGTCTCCACACTAACATTTCCAGAATGTGAGCCTTTACTACTGCATCCTCAATTTCCGAGTCATCACTGGATGGAGGCATAAGGACGGTGCCACCATGTCCATGGTGGAACATGCTCTGGTACACCCGCTGGCCTGTCAGTGGCCCTGAATCTCATAGGTTCTCAGCTGGAGTCGGTGAGCTGAGAACCCTAAAAGTCCGGTTTGGATAAGGGAGGGTTAATGCACTGGCTCTTTCTTATTTTAATGATCCCGTAGGAATTATTACGTATGTGTAATAGATAAACGTAGAAGCACACATCTGTGTTAAACTCCATGACTCAATGTGTTTCCTCTCATTATGACACCTCTACTAGCCTAAGTTTTTTATTAGAAAATTTCGTAATTACCAAATAATTGCTCCTTTTTGCCTGGCAAATCTACAGAGCACTTTCAGAAAATTTAAATCTAAAAAAATAAATTCCAATTCACACTGGAGGGTTTGATAGTTTGGCCAAACACACAAAATAAACAACTATTTTATTAAACTGTCAGACTGAGGGACACCTGGGTGGCTCAGTGGTGAGCATCTGCCTTTGGCTCAGGGCGTCATCCAGGGATCCTGGCAATCAAGTCCCACATCGGGCTCCCCACAGGGAGCCTGCTTCTTCCTCTGCCTGTGTCTCTGCCTCTCTCTGTGTCTCTCATGAATAAATAAAATCTTTAAAAAAAAAAAAACTGTGAGACTGAGTAGGTCTTTGCATAAACCTCGTAAGAAAGGTGAAGCAGGGATGGGCTAGATGGGATTCAGGAGGGCACCTGTGATGAGCACTGGGCGTTCTACATAAATCTACTCCTGAAACCAATATTACACTATATGTTAACAAACTAAAATTTAAATAAAAACTTGATACCAAAAGAGAGAAAAGAAAAGAAAAGAAAAGAAAAGAATTTTAAAACCTCTGGTTCAAAACCTTAAAGTATCTTAGCATAACTCACAATACGCCCGTCGCCACTACCAATGTCAACCAGGGATCCTCTCCTGCAGTGCAGCATTTTCACAACATTTGCAATCTGCTTTGTAGTTGCAGGTACAAAAGGCAAACAAATTTTTCGGAGGGCTGGTATTAGAAATGGTGTGGCCACAGCATACACCGCCACCAGCGTCCCACCAACAATCCCAGTAAATAAAAATCCCCAACTGCTTTTCTTCAAACTGTTGGTGCCAAGACTTGTAGGTAGAACACATCCCAACTGAGTTTCTTCAAGTATTTCAGGGGATGTACCTAGATGGGAAGCAAACAGGAAATACACACATCACACCAAATCTGAAATCCCAAGGTAGTATTTTTTTTTTCTGCAATTCTTGACAAACTCACACTGTTTAAAGAAGGATAATTTAGCTGAATACAGGCTAAGTTACAAATGTAGGATTCCATGAGTTCTAATTCCATCAACTAAATTAAAGTGTTTTAGAGAAAATTATTCAATTCTGATGGGAATCTAAAATCTTTTCTTTCCAACGTACTAACTTTTTTTTGAATCATCCTTAAGAAAACAATGTATTTGTCCCTCTTTGGTATTTTATGAATTCAATAAAAATACCAATTAATAAAGGCGTTAACCAAGGACTCTGTATTTTTATGATGTAGAACAAAACTTCACAAATATTAAAATGTCTAATTGCTACCCTATTTCAAATAAGATATAAAGAATCCACATCAAAATTGGTGAGGTATCTACAGTCCAGTCGAACTAATACAATTGTCAAATAATAGAGACTAAAATCAGGTCTCACTAAAAAATAGTAAGTATGGTTATGAAAAGATTTTTAAAGAAGATCCAAAAAGAACAGAAGATAAAATAATCATGTCAGTGCACCAGTATGGAATAAAGTGAACTCCAATCACTTGAAAACAGAGAAAGGAATGATACCAAAAATAGCCTCCTCTGGAGTTTTACTCTTTAAAATACATTCTTAAGAGGATCTCAAGTTCTGGGGGCTGAAATTGATTTGAAAAAAAATTTCAAGTTGATTAAGGAGCAAATCAGCAAGTAAGAGCATAACCTCGAGGTAAGGACCTGAGCTCTGCACCTTACTAACGGTAGGACCCTTTACTTCTCTGAACCCTGGTTTTCTCTTCTGTAACACAGAGATTACAGGGTCACTATGCAGATGAAACGAGTAGATGCAAGAAACGCACTTAGAACACTGCCTGGTATATGCTGGCAGTGCCCACCACTAGCTACATGCTGAGCCCCACATGGAACAAGGCTGCCCTGAAGCAGCTCACAGTCTAGTGGAGAAGATGAAGTTAGGCCCAAAACACAGGCATCGTGGAAAATAGAAGACAGTAAGAGAGGGGAGAACATTAGATTCTTGTCGTTGGAAGATGTTAATATCCATGGTTTCAGGAATTAGTAAACCAAAGGGCCCACTGGATTAGTTTCCCAACGCTGCAGTAAAAAATCTTAGCATCTTGCACTTATTATCATATAGGTCTGGAGGGCAGAAGTCCGAAGTGGGCTGGCAGCACTGGGTTCCTTCTGGAGGCTCAAGAGTGGGATCAATTTGCTTGCCTTTTCTAGCATTTAGAAGCTGCCCACATTCCTCAGCCAGTGGCCCCACATCACCCCAACCTCTGCTCCCATCAGGACACCTCTTCTGACTCTCCTGCCCCCTTTTCTTTATAGGGACCCTTGTGAGGACACTGGGTCCACCCAGACAAGCCATCACAAAGCCTCCCCATCTCAAAGCCCTAACTTCACCCCATTTATTTTCTTTTTTAAGATTTTATTTATTCATGAGAGACATGGAGAGAGAGGCAGAGACATAGGCAGAGGGAGAAACAGGCTCCATGCCCAATGTGGGACTCGATTCTGGAACTCCGGGATCACACCCTGGGCCAAAGGCAGGCACTAAACCGCTGAGCCACCCAGGCGTCCCAACTTCACCCCATTTATAAATTTTCTTGTGGAGCATCTGGGTGGCTCAGTGATTGAGCAGACGTCTGCCTTTGGCTCAGGTCATGATCCCGGGGTCCCGGGATCAAGTCCCACATCGGGCTACCCTCAAGGAGCCTGCTTCTCCCCCTGCCTGTGTCTCTGCCTCTCTCTCTGTGTCTCTCATGAATGAATAAATAAATCTTTTTAAAATAAATAAATTCTCCTGTGTAACATATTCACAGGTTCCATAGCTGAGGACATGGACCTACTGGTGGGAGGGGGTGGTCTGCCTACCACACCCATGAATGTGGTGATCTGCTACAACATTGTGAGGTTCAAATGTGAACACAGGGCACACAACAAGCTAGCCCACGGCAGTGAGTCATTGCTCCAAGGCAACTGACCAACCACCAGCATCTATCTCACAGAGTGGAGCTTTCTTCTTGACTTCTGAAGTCCCCTAAAATGAGTCTTAAAACCGGTTTCACAGTGGAAAACTAACTCAGAAACAAGAACAACAAAAGTCTACTGCTGGAGCTGGAGGTAAAATAAAAGTACAGATTTGGAAGCTAACAGTGTTTAATAGAAGGCAAGAGTTTTAAGAAATTTTCGGCTATACCTTTCAGCATTGTATGGCTGCTGGAGGAATGGAGGAATTTACTCGCTACAGTAAATAGTCATGTATTTGACTGCTTTTTAAAAAGTGAAAGCACCATCTGCCATGCCTCTGCAAAACTATCCTGTGGGTATCCCAATTATGCAATACAGTGGTTAAAAGGATTTGAGTCATAAAGTTCTGGAGTCACAGAACTCAACCAGTGTGTAACATGAGCTAAGTTTTGGCCAAGGCTTGGGTTCCTCACCTGTAAAATACGACTACGCTCATTGGGTTATCCGAACACTTAATGCATCTGAAGTCCTTACTGCTCTAAGTGAGAGAGAGAGTGATGACTGTTAGCTGCTAACCTTAGTCTCAACACTATGGTGGGCGGGGGGGGGGGGGGGGGCCTCCATAATCTCGGACAGCTTCGTTGAGATGTAATTCACATACCATACAATGTGCCCATTTAAAGCATATAATCCAAAGATTCTTAGTACATTCAGAGATACGCGTAACCATCACCACAGTCGATCTTAGAACGAGGTCTTTACCGGAGAAGAGAGTCCGTACTTAACCTTTAGGTGTCTCCCCTCCCCTTCACACCTTAGCCCCAAGCAACCACTCCCATTCCGACTTTCAGGGCAGCGGAGTCATCTACTATGTGCTCCTCTGCGACGGGCTTCCCTCACTTGGCATCATGTTTTCAAGATCCACGGGGCAGCACAGGAGCCCCTTGAACAACACCGGTTTGAGCTGCACAGGTCCACTGGGACGTGATTACTTTGATACAGCACCATAAACATATTTTCTCTAATGATCTTAAAGTATTTTCAGGGTATCCTAAGCACACAGTATGTAATGCGTGTAACACACAAAATATGCCAATCGGCTTCCCAGCAACAGTAGGTCTTAGTAAAGCAGTGGGGGAGTCAAGTTATACATGCGTTTCCCGCCGCTCAGGTCTGACCGCACCGGCACCCCCAACCCCCAGGTTGTTCAAGGGTCAGCTGCACCTCATCCCTTTTATAGACTATCAGGTCACCATCAGCGTCCTTAAAAGAAATGCGGCAGACGACTGGGTGACGGGCACCGAGGGGCGCCCCTGTCGGGATGAGCACTGGGCGTTATACTCTATGTTGGCAAATCGAACTCTAATAAAAACCTGCATATATTACAGAAAAAGAGAGGAGGCGAAGGGGACTTGGAGGTCAGGGTCCTCTGGAGTTGGGATCCGCGCTCCTCCCGGCGCTATCACGTCGCCCGGGGGGCTGGGCTGTCCGCGCGAAACCGGGCTAGCCGTGACGGACGCCTCAGCCCAACCTGCTAAGGGCCGGCACCGGTCTCCCCGCACCAGGGGCTCCGCAAGGGGGATTCTCCCGCCACCTCGGCAGGCAAGGGAACGACGCACCGGCGGTGGAGTCCCGTCCGCGGAGCCCCAGCCAGGCCGCGCCGATCCCCCGGCGTGAGCCGCGGCAGGCTCCGACTTTCAGGGGAGCGGACCGCGGCTCCCGCTCCCTCCCGGGAGGCCCAACCTGCACCGCCGAGCGCCACCCCACCGGGCGCCCGCCGCCCCAGCCGCCCCAGCCGCCCCAGCCGCCTCACCGCCTCCTCTCGCCATCGCGAGATTTCCTGCGTCTTGCGTCCCGAGGGGGGAGTGCGCGGGAGGAGGGAAGGGCGGAAATCCGGAAGTGGGTTCTACCATCTGCTCGGAGCCGGGGTGGGACGGAGGGAGAAAGTAACGCAGTAAGTACACGAGTTCCTCGTTGGGACGACTACCTAGAAACCGTCAACTGAACAGCTCTGGCCAATGAGTTCCATGTACTCTCGACTTGTAGGTTTGAAGTTCCCGCCCGTGTCTTCGAAGTCCCTCCCCCCCCCACAGCTTCCGGAATGATAGAAGTTTCCTAAGGCCTCTGATTCCAGAAGGTACTGTCCAGCGTCAAACTAGTCTCGAGTGAAAAATAAGTCTCAGGCGGCGTGGACTGCGCCTGCGCGCACTGTTGCGCCCTCCCGCGAGCGGAAGGCGTGTGCTGGGTTCCGGAGCGGTGTCCGCCGGGTGGGGAAAGTGAGCGCTGCTGCTGCACCATGGCGTCGGTCGGGACCCTCGCCTTCGATGAATATGGGCGTCCTTTCCTCATCATCAAGGATCAGGATCGCAAGTCTCGTCTTATGGGGCTCGAGGCCCTCAAGGTAACGGGCCGGCCGCTGGCGGAGGCTGGCGGGGGGGGGGGCGGGGACGGCCGGGGTCCGCGCCTGCGCGCGGCTGGGAGCGGCTCCGCCATGTGCTCCCGGCAGGGTCGGGCCCCGCTGCGCCCCCGGGCCCTGCGCTCCGCTCTCCGAGCTCGGGCGAGGCCGGCGTACGAGCCCGCAGTCCCCGTGTGGGGGCCGGGAGGAGCCGCGCGCGCCCTCCTGCGTTGGGGGCGCAGTTGGGTGTTTGGGCGGTGCGCCCGCCCCCGAGCGCTTCTGCAGCCCCTGCTCGTCGGCCCCGGGTTCGCGGGGCACCTGGCCAGGGACGAGCACGGCCCCAGAGAACCAGGCCCCGTGTCCCTGTCGCTCCCTAGAGGCTGTCCGTCTCCCAGCGCCTTTCTGCACGGCCTGATGCTGGGCGTGGTGTCGTTGAAAGCGCTAAACGTGTGCCCTTAGAGAAGAGAGTCCCCCGCCAGAGGGAAGGCGGACACGCAGAACCGTGACGCGGGTCCGCCCGGCGGCGTGCGGCTGCAGCCCCCCGTCGGGTGGGACCAACGGTGGGGCGTGGCTTTGGATCCGGCGTGGGGTCCCTGCTTCGAGCGTGCCGCGGGCCGCCTGTGGGGGCGGGGCCGGCAAAGGCAGGCAGCTGGGCGCGGAGGCGCCTGGCAGGCTCGTTGTCGGGGAGGGAGCGCGCAGCCTGCCTCAAGCCCTGCCGCTGCCCGCAGGTGGAAGTTGTGGAACGCCTGGCGGTCGGGGTGTTGGCCCCGGAGGAGGTGTAGGGCACAGCTGTGCGAGCAGGTGGGGTCTGGTGGGCCACAGGGGCAAGGGCGCAGTCCCGCTGAGAGGGTCATCTGGACACGTTAACAGAAGGGGGGGGCAGGGGGAGGGGTGAGGACGGGCCCTCTCTGGGGCTTGTATCTTAAACGAGCCAAGACCCGGTGCAGCCCCCTCGCTGTTGGCCTGAGGACCAGCCGCACCGCGTCCCTGAAGCTCCTTTCTCGGGGTGGGGGGGCGGTGCACGCACCTGTCGGGCTGAGGTGGAGGGTCACGGCGGTGACCTCGGAGGGGCCGCGCTTCAGAGGTGGGGCGCTTCTCTAGGGCAGTCAGCGGGAGGACCGCGTGGCATCGTGGTGTGTACGGCTGCTCCTGCGCCAGCTGTACCGTTACCTACTAACGTGCGCTATACTCCTGTCACCCTCGTGCTGAGACGGGTATTCTCTTACATAGTCGGAAACTGGCCCTGAGGTTAAGAATCTGCTTGAGGGTTCGTAGTTCATGGAGACTGGGGCCTTGATTGCAGCCCGCCTCTGGCGGACTCCAAAGCAGTGGTCTAGAGCCAGAGTTCTCAGCATTGGCACTGTTACTGTTTGGGGGCCCAGTCATTGTGCGGATCGCTGCGCAGTGTCCGGGCCTCTACCCACTCCATGCGTGCTAAGAGCAGCCCCGGCCCATTTGTTAGAACCAAAGACAGCTGTGCACATTGCCGGCTACCTCCTGAGGGACAAAATCGTCCATGGTTAGGAACTGCTGATCTGTGGTGATTATCCTTTAAAAAGTCCGTTACGCAGACAAATCCATCAATGTGTAATTTAATGGTTACCACCATTTTCATGGATCCAGGAAGTTTGTGTCTTTCCTTACCTGCCAGATGGAGTGCTGAGGAGGGCTTCACAGAACATGTGTGTTTGAACTGCTTTGAAAATTGGTCAGGGTTTTGATGAGTGGAGAGCCTCCTGTGGACCTTACTACAGGGATGGGAGACCATACTTGGGGAACAAGCATGGCCCATCAGCAGTGGGAAGGAACTAGCTCTCAGATTGTGGAGGGCATTGAAGAAGACGCCTAAGCCTTCAGACTTCAGTGTTGAGGCGCTAGGGAGTCCCTGAAGCTTTGCCGACTGGCAGGTAACACGTTTGAGGAAGATGGATGAGGTAGCTGGATGTCAAGTGAATCTAAACAGTAGGAAGTGAGATCAGAGACCCTGGATCTCTGTAGGGCGCTGTGGGTCCAGGTCAGGTTGGCGACAGCAAGACTAGGAGCAAAGGAAACGTGTGGAGGGATGAGCCTGATTCTATGTGCAAACAGGAGAGGATGCTTGCAAGAGTCTGTTACTGTACTGATACCCTTCGTACGTGACACGCAAGGATGACTTTCACATACAGGTCGTGTATTGGCTGGACCGGGTCAGAGAGGGGTACGTCTCTGCAGTGCAACTTAGCCGGATAGTTCAGGTTGCTATATACGCACATCAGACTCATCACATAAAGTTAGCATTGCTGAGTGGTCTTGCAAGGCCTGTCGGCTTAGACTGCCTGTGCTCTCAGCTGTAAAATGGGGGCGGGTAAGGGAATCTGCCTCTTAGAAGTGCTGAGTTAAAGTACTAGGTTCTGGTTCTTTTACGAAAGAATGGTCTAGTAAAGATGTAGTTGTGAAGGTTACCACACTTCTTTAGACTAGTGTGTTGCCTCTTAGATGTAGAAGCTTCTAGAGAAGGCAAAGTATATGATTAAATTTTATAACAATCAGATGCTTTTAATTATTAAAATTCCACGTAAGTTGAACATTTGTTTTTTTGTTCGTTTCATTTTTTAGTCTCATATCATGGCAGCAAAAGCTGTAGCAAATACAATGAGAACATCACTTGGACCAAATGGTAAGAGGCTAACATTGTGTGTTTTGATGAATGTTAATCAATTATAGATAGTAGATACAACCCTTTTTTTTAAAGTTGGAATGTGGAGCAGGAGGCATACTAGGCCCCCAACACTAACAAACTTGTATTATGTATTCCAAGCTTTTGACATGTTTATGATCATAAGTTTTAGGTCAGGGTTTTTTCCTCCCTCTTCACGTCATTTCATGAGCATTTTGCAAATCATAGTAGTCCTTTTTTATGATTAATACTACACTTAGTGATGTTCCTTTTGTTCCCCCATTTCTCTGGCTTTCACCCTTCAGATTGCTTCTGGTGTCTTGCTTTGTAGTCACCAAACTAAAAGAGTGCACGTGGGTACTCTTCTGTATGAGTTCTGAAAATAAGAAGTAGCTCAATGGGTCTTTTTTTTTTTTTTTTTTAGTTCTTGGTACAGATTTTATTTTTGTTCTTTTGCTTAATGTCGTGGTAAACATTGGCATCTTTTTAGGACTTGATAAAATGATGGTGGACAAGGATGGCGATGTGACAGTAACGAATGACGGTGCCACCATTCTAAGCATGATGGACGTCGATCACCAGATTGCCAAGCTGATGGTTGAACTTTCCAAATCACAGGATGATGAAATTGGAGATGGGACCACAGGGGTGGTTGGTAAGAAAGCAAAATAGGCTGATACCTTGTTTCAAAGGTGTTAGTTAAAAATCACACACACACCAAGAATGTTGACTCTGCCAAGAATGTTTACTCTGAATCTGGTCATAGGGATCCCTGGATGGCTCAACGGTTTAGTGTCTGCCTTCGGCCCAGGGCATAATCCTGGAATCCCGGGATCAAGTCCCACATTAGGCCCCCTGCGTGGAGCCTGCTTCTCCCTCTGCCTGTGTCTCTGCCTCTCTCTCTGTGTCTCTCTCTCCACCCCACCCCCCCCCCCCCGTCTCTCATGAATAAATAAAATCTTTTTTTTAAAAATCCAGTCATGAGGAGACCAGTCATGCAAATCCAAGCTGAATGCTCAATACAAGGCCCAAAAGTCCTTCTGGAAGAACAAGAAGGATTTGAGGGAGAGTTCAACAACTATTCTAAATCAATCAAACAACTAAATCTAAATCAAAGAAGCGAAAGAAAAATGGCACCCAGCTATAATGCGTGACACTTGATTTAATGTGGGTGTTTTTTGTTTTTTTAACTGTAAGGGATGTTTGGGATACATGGGAGGATATTTGGATTATCCATTACAGAGTAGTGCCCTAACAGTTTCCTGAGCATGACAGTTATATTATAATGCTGTAGGAGAATGCCGTTGTATTTAGGAGCCATATGCCAAGGTACTTAGGGGTGATGTATCAGGATTTCTGCAACTGATTCTCATGTAGTTGAATAGAATACATGTGTGCATTTGTAGATAAAACCAATGTGGCAAAATGGTGTTAGTAAATAAACTCTTCATTTTACTATTGCATTTTTTCTGAAGGTCGGAAATATTTAAGTTGAAGGTAGAAGGCTTTAATGTTCTCTTTTCTGCAGATGAGATTTGAATTCTTTTTTATTCAACAATTACTGGGTACCAAGCACTGTTGTGGATGTGCTTGGAGTATAGCAATATTAAAGCAAACAGTAGTGTTCCTCTTTATGGGTCTAAAACTTCAGAGGAAGGAAGATGGTGGGGAAGATAAATCATAAATACATTCTTGAATCCTTTACCACCAACATAAATTTGAATAGAAATCCCTGGCCTGGGAGGAGCACTTGACTGGCTCACTTCATAGAGCGTGTGACTCTTGACCTTGAGGTTGTAAATTCGAGACCCATGTCGGATGTAGATTCCTTAACAAAAAAAGAAAACTCTTGACCTGGGAGACACATGAAGTTTTT